GTGTGTGTGTGTGTGTGTGTGCGTGTGTGTGTGTGTGTGTGTGTGTGTTTGTGTGTGCACGTGCGTGCGTGCGTGCATGCGTATGTAAGCGTGCTCGTGCATACATTACATAGGTCGTACATGGGTGTGTGTTCCCGTTGGGTAATTCTTTATGCAGTTGTATGTAAGGCCACATAAAGTATTCACATTAATAAAAATAATTTGGGTTGCAAAACAACTGTCCTGGGACATATTTTCATCCCAATAACATTCTCGCAAATATTCCTGTTAGGATTCAATGACGAACATCTGGAAGATCGCGATTTGACGTAACTGGGTGAGTTGAAGGCGTTACAAGAACGAGGGAGGGGGTGGGCTGGATTGGAGGACTGAGTGGTATTAGATGGACTAAGGGCCATTTACGACTGTGTTGGGTAGCAATAGTATGAAAACAGAGGTTTGGCAGAATGTATCTCTCCCTCAAGGAATTCGAAGTCCTCGGTTTCTGGCGCATCTGAAAAGCCTAACCATAATACAGCGGGACTCAAAATGAAAGATTAAGACCAATAGCAGGTAAAGAATTTTTTAAAAGAAGAAAAGATTAATAAAAATATCGTATTGGATTTAAACCCCTTTCAACACAGAAAGGCTATACAAGACGAGAGGCCTTCCAATATTGCTATCCATTTTTCCAAAAAGATCGACCCCTGAGGAGGAAAAAGAGGAAACTCTCTTAAGTTCAAGTTCAACAGCATCCCATAAAAGACCGTAGACCAGGACAATAAGCAAAGCGACGGAGCTAACGGCTCATCTGGACCACAGTCGGGTGTGCTACGAATTGTAAAATATTAGGCACGTTTCATAGGCCAATCAGCATAATTTTGGTATCAGAGAAGGTTGCATGTGTCGACCCGGACTATCTCGGCTTATCTGAGCCGAGTGGGATACACCATTTTAGTAGACAGATTAGGGAACTCGAGTAAATAAACAAAATACTTCTCCACTAAAGAATCGAACTTACGTTATTTTGCATGCAGCAATAGAGAAGATCTTGAATATTTATAAACATACTACAGACACCAGTAGGTGTGTTACACATGCGAGTACAAATCTATTCTAGTCCCCCCCCCCCCACTCACAACACACACACATATAAACCCACAAACACACACGCACGCACACACATACACACTACCCACACTGTTAATCTAAGTTTAGAAGCGTCTTGACTTCACGGCGACCCACATTCCACATGTGGCGCCAAAGAGACAGAAGGCCCCGGATGTTCGAAGTAGACCAAGTAATCTCCGAATGGAGAGCTCATCTGCTGGACTTTCACCAAAATGTGTTTACATATTATACTACTACAACACATGTGCATGGACTGTGCTAGGTCATCACTCTTAAAAACATGTGTGTGTGTGTGTGTGTGTGTGTGTGTGTGTGTGTGTGTGTGTGTGTGTGTGTGTGTGTGTGTGTGTGTGTGTGTGTGGGTCGAGAGCCAGCATACTGTAAAGCTACTAGAGGAGTATGGCCTCTTGTCTCTGCTCAGAACCATTCTGTGTTTTATTTATGTTGCTCTTCAAGTGACACGCATCCTTTTCCTATTTTTTTGTGGGTGGTCTGAAGCTGTCCCTGAAAGGTACTACTTCTTTTCAGTCCTTCTGATATTTCTGTCAATTAAACTTTTTTTTTGTGGCTGGCTGGCGGGCGCTCTGATGTGGTTTGCTCCTTCTTTCCTATCAAACATCTATCGCCCTTATCTCTGTTCTTTCTTTTTTGTGTTTGTTACTCTCTTGTAACACATCAAACCTCCGGCACTTATATGACCTTATTGTGTTGCAAGTGCCGTAAAACTCTTACTAGAACTAAACTTTCATTTTTTACAGGTGGTTGAAGAGCGCTTCTGGGTGGTCCACTTGTTTCCTTACCTGCTATTTCTGTCTGTTATTCTTGCTTTTTACCCGAGTGGATGTGCTTCTCTTTTCTCGAATTTGATTTCGATTTTTCTTTTGACAATACAGAGCTTTTTTATTGTGACAGTGAAGTTTTCAAACAAGACAGAGGAATTAATTAGGGACGCTGTGTTACTGTTTTGTTCTGAACATCGATATCCTTTTGACACAAAAGCTCTGTTTGGCTTTGAGTATGTCGTCCTGTGATGTTGACGAGAGCGGGTTTCTTGATATGTGATCCTGTCCTTTTTCATCTTGTGGGTCGGTGTCTTCTTCCTTCTTTATTGTGAGATCTAGAGGGAGTGGGAGAGGGAGGGAGGGAGAGAGAGAGGTAAGGAGTGAGAATGAGAGAGAGAGAGAGAGAGAGAAGGGAGATGGGGGAGGAGAGAGAGAGAGAGAAAAAGAGAGAAAGAGAGAGAGAGTGAGTGAGTGTGTATATGTGTGTGTGTATGTGTGTGTGTGTGT